ACTCTTGAACTTGTTCAACTTGTAGATTGTCAATTGTCAATCTGGTTAAATCTTATGTAATATACTACACCTCCATTTGTTAAGTTATTTGTCATTTTTTTATTGTATCGTACGATCGCCTTAATATATCCAAGCGTCTGATGCCGTGCTCAGAGTCGCCTGACAGCAAACAGCGCAACTTTGTTTTTCAGCATTTCTGATCGTAATCCTACTATAAAATAACACCCCGTAGACGACAATGTAAAAACTTGTTTTTCGCTAAAATTCCACTGAATATATAAACATATGGTAGAAGACTACTACTACCTATTTTTTTTTGCTTCAAGGGGGCTTCAAGTTGGTCATAAATTGCATGACAATGTTCATTGATTTATTGTGTTTAATCATAGAACTATTATCCCATTGCACTATGGAAGAGCATTATTTTGTGTGTTACAGTTGTCTTGAGAAACTTATATTTTTTAAATCGCTGAGAACAACTCCATAAATTCTGGGTACTTTCATTTATGAGAGACAGAGAGGATTACACTCGAGTTACAAACCCCGCGTACGATACAATTTCTATTTTCAATGCACGCTCTCTGTTTAACCATTAACGCTTCTCTTGGGTTTCTACATGTCCATCCGCTTGGCATTTATTTTTTCTATTTTTGCTGAAAGGTTGATTCAATGAAAACAAAATCCTGCGAATATACCATTTATTCAGTAAAAATATACTCCATACAAAAACCCCGAAAAGTCTTTTCAGCGAAAATTAATTCCAGTGTTTTACAGTTCTCGTTTTACGAGCCACACTCCTGTTCATTCCATTTAATTTAAAATACAATGTTGGGTCGAACCGCCTTCTGAATTCCTATAACAACTTGAAAACATCAACCTTACGGTAAAAGTGGTTCAACCGCTAGTCCCTGTGTCGTAATACATTGACCAATACAAATCGATTTCCGTCTCAAAATACGCATTTTTTACAAATTTAAATCTGATTACAGAGTATCCGCGCAGATTTTTCCCACTGGGGAAACATCGTCTGTAGAAACAAATCACTGACATTTTTTTTTTACTTGAAACCCCTTCAACCGTAAAGAAGTTGTTTCCCATCTGATAGGAAATGAACATCACTCAGCATGTCAATTACTGGAACTGTTCTAGTTATCGACTGACCGACACATGATTTACAACTACGTATGTCTTAATTAAGACTTATGTACAGAGATAAGATAAAACGTCTCATTCAATTTAACATGGACAAACAAACCATAAAACTAAAGCATTATACACAAAGCGGAAGTATTTTGGATATGCATGTGTCTTCCCAATTCCTCGCAGGGGGTCCTGTATTGGTATGGCCGCCGTGACGAGATTGCATTTCCAATTCTAATTTAACGTTGGATGGCTTGTTTTAGTGCTTAATGGGCTAAATGAACACATTTCAGTTCCAATTATACGTCGGCGCCGCTTTTTATTTAGATTTTCCTTTTACCGCGGGTTTTATGTATACCGCCGGTTCGTGAGGTATATAACACAGTGATGCATCGAACTTTTCAAGTTTTCTCCTTTTAAAAAAATACATTGTTATAATTTTATATAGTATGAACTCCTGTTTTACGTCAAATTGTTTGGCGATGTTTTATCTTTAAACTCTTTCCACGTTCAATCATTTGTCAATTTGCATTTTGAGTTTAGGTTATTTTCGTCTATTAAACGAATATAGCAATCACCACGCGCGTCTCGTATGAAATACTTAAAGCGGGAGGGTCGTCACCTGCGCACGCGCGGGAACTGAGTTACAAACGACAATAACAACACGCGCTAAAAACGCAAAGGATCATGGGTAGACGCTTGTTAGTAAACAATGACACGCTATGGCCGTCTGACGCATGCGCAGGTGACGACACCCCTGCTTTAATTGAGAAATGTTAACGAATTCATACTTTGATCGTAGTTTTTCGTTTCTGGTAAGTTTTCGAACTTCGGAACCCATCACATTTCTGATAATGTTCAAATTAATTAAGTAATAAGTTCTGCATTCAACGACATCTTGCTCGCCAATTTCTATAAAGACTCATTATAGTAAACGGCGAACAACATTACCGCTTGGAAATTTGAAACAGAATAAGGGATGGTCACTTGAAATTGAGGAGGGTCTTTCATATGTACAAATTTGAAAAGCATTATAACAGCGCAAAAACAGATTGCAAGATTGATAACTTTCTCTGATTTTACTTCCCATTCTGCACCTATTTTTAAACAACGTAGAATACTTGATGTCCCTAAATTGTGCACATATTATTCAATTTGTAATTTTGTATATGATATTATCCATGGTCCACACTCTCTGCAAACATACAACTTTAAGTATATTCAGCACTGTCACAATACCAGACAAAGGCACCGATTTGACTTACTTGTTCCAAAAATGAATACAACTAGAGGCCACTTTTCATCCTCGTATTTAGGAACTAAATTATGGAACAGTCTGCCTGTCACATTAAGATCACAACCAAAGAATATATTCAAACAAAAACTGAGGAATTTACTATTGGCGAGATATACCACATAAATTTTACCTTCAGGGGGAAATTGTGCTTATCATTAACGGTTTCTTTATTCCGTTGAGCACAATTTTGCTGACCTGCAAAATGTTTGTAACCGAATTTCGCTCAACTGTCCCCATTTACTTGTATTCATGGTGTACTCGATTCGAGTTTTCATCTCTCAGTGACTCAGTATATGTACATCGTTGGGGGGCAGGAATTTGGGTCTCGAGTTACGTAATGTGTATTTTCAATATCATCACCGACATCAACGTGGTTACTGCGTCGGACTCTGGTCGGCATACCCGAGTTCAAATCCTACCTGAGGTCGACCTGTACCGCACCTTGTGTGAGCGTGTTACGGACTCAGCGGGAAATCAAGGCCATTGGCCACGAAATACTGAATCTATAAAATATCGGATTTTGGGAGGGCTTTTGTTAATGTCTGCTAAATAGTTGTTTAAGTTTTGACCAGGCCTCAGTGGATGGGTGCTGGGTTAGCGCATTAAATTGTCATAACACCATTATGATACGAAGATGGTCCTAACATGGAATATGGTTCCTGTTGTCCATACAAATCCAGGAAAGACAACATAAAGCGACATTCGGTGATGGCATCGCCTTGCACATACATATCTTTAAAGATTAAAACAATATATATATATATGTTATTTTAAAATAATTATTATATGTTCCAATGCTAATTCGCCACTTAGTGATTACTCGGTTCATTGACAACTTTATGCACATATACTTTTACATTGTTTACAGGTTGTTAATTTCACCAATAAATTGACCGCCCGTATTCAATGTTTCTTACTCAATGGAGTGTTATTTTTTACTGCAATTGTTACAAATTGAATAGTGTCCATTTGTTGCGTAACTATTCGTGAAACAGCCTCGTATTGTTGACCGATTGAGGAAACATGTTTCCGAACAAATCACAATTGACCGCTATTTTTGCTGCCCTATTTCTACAGCATTGTGTGTTATCATACTACTATTATTCTTTACATGCCTGGGCCTGGAGTTGTTAATCGACTAATTACGTACCATCACCCCGCCCTATTTCCCATGCAGTCTATTTAATGATTATTTGTATTGCTAGTTTTGTTTATTAACGCATATAAATGTAGTTTTTTTATCATGTGGATTTGCATGTATATGACGTAACTATCCAACTCCGTGTACTCGTGTTTTGCAGTCAGCAGTCGGTCATAACGGACTCATTTAATTGTTATTCAGAATCGTAATTGGACCCTCAGGCCTGCTCACTGACAGATGGATGATCACCTCATTGAGGGGTCGGTGGTGTTCGCCAGACCTTAACATTTGGAAATATGTTAAAAGGACAACCAACATTTCCAATTTTATAATATATACCCGAAATATTCACACATAATAGTGCCGACGACCCGCAAAGGATGCGCGATTGTCCTCATTCTGGGTATTATATTAGGCCTATTATACCAACACGGCGTACTGCGTCTACTGTATTTTAGTCCTGTCCCGGTTAGCCACACTTTTGGTTTCGTACAACTCGTGTACCGACTCTCGTTATTTTTGTTTTGAAACTCGCGATACCAAGAAGTCGAAACACAGTCGAAACGGCCGTGTAGCACACGCCCTTCACCGTGGACGCCCAGCAGTGGGGGGGGGGGAACTGGTTGCTTGATTGCTTGATGATGACATTATTAATTTGTGTGTTGTTAAACAAATCCAACAACATATTACCGAATTATTGTCTGGGCAAAATCTTCATCTGTAAGTGTGAATATCGGTAATATAAAATGATTCATATATTGTCAAAAACGCGGGGACAATTCAAATTACCTGGAACCCAGGTTTTTTTCTGCGTCATCACAATTTGGGAAGTCCTGATATTATCATAGTACCGGAACCGGAAACCATCCGATACCGGATAATAATCAAAACGCTACTTAGTGTGTGTGCGTGTATACGTGCTGAAAACACATTTTTTACATTCGGGACTTCACGCAAAAAACAAAAATACGGAAAGTGTAAATAAAAATAAATAAATAAAACGTATGTATATAACAATCATGTTTATTTAAACAAAGTTCCCTTTTTACATTTACCCGATCACAAATATTCTATCAAAACACAACCAGGACATGTCAGAGCGCCCTCTAGTGAACAGACTAAGAAATGAATACTAGTACCTGGCTGTCAAAAAAAAAATAAAGTATTTACAAAAAAAATGTAATAATAATACTTTTAAATTGTGACCATACATGGGCGTTGTTTGCATATATTAAAATATGCAGCGATATTTATAAAAACCCGACCTTTGACCCCATATCCGATTCTCAAAAATCGATGCCGAATAATGATTCATCCGCTATTAATGTCTTTTTTTAAGGATCATTACACTGCTTCACGCAGTGAGTTGAACCGGTGCAGGGAGACGTTCAAGAACACGGCTGACGTCAGACTCGTTTTTACCCACGTGATGAGTTTCGTGGTGACGTCTAAGATCGACTTTTCTCTGGAACGCCTTGGTGCAAAGCTGGCAACTGAAGGGTCTGAATCCGGTGTGCTTGCGTGAATGGGTGATGAGGTTTGACGACTGACTAAATGCCTTGCCACACTGGGTACATTTGTACGGTTTTTCACCTGCAAGCAAAAAAAAAAAAAATATTAATTCAATATACTAAGTAAAATTACGAAAACAATGTACATATATATCGCCTTGATGCGTCACGTCACTGTGTTTGTTTTTATCATAGTTGCTGGCTCATTACAGAAAAAAATCCCGCCCTAATTGTGGCGTCAGTAATTCATGTATCTTTTAATTTATGTTTTGTGCAACCAGTTTTAATGCAACAAGCACTCGCAAATTTATAAATAGCTTTAACAATGCCACCATGCCCGTATATTTAGCGATCGTGAGTTACGGTTATATGATTAATTGGAGCGTACGATAGGAATTTGTTATACTAATCCGGGTTGAAAAATTCACTGCCGCCCCTATTTCTCACGGTCGGTTAGAGACAAATGAAATTCGTTGTACCCCATTTTCATTTCGAACGGCCGCAGGCGGCGCTGTTTTACCGCACCGTTAAAAATCCGATCAAAGCAAAATGGTGGCAACGTTATTCTCTCATATTTCATCATGTACACAATATTATTAATAGTTTTATTTCTCGAGTATCGGGTGGTATAACTAATATAATTTTACATTCACGTATTGTTGCTCGCGTATTAGAAATGTTAGTGCTACTTTCACCGAATGTTTCTGAGAAAGCGGGTTAGTGCACGAGTTGCCCAAATCATAAAAAACACCGCTCAAAATAGCCATTATTTCACCATATGTAAATGACTGGTGAGTTTATTTTTCGTTTTACGACAGCTTTGTTGGCACCCACTTTAAAACGAATATTACCGAAAATAGAATTCCAAATTTGACCGTTTCACAGTGTTTGTTATCCTAATAGTGAGTGATTTTCTTAAAGAGATTTTAAGAAAATACTAATTCAGGGGTTGCGAGGAAAGCCAATTGTTAAGCAGGCATTATGTATCGCAGAATATTATAGTAAAGGCCCTCACCTGTATGGATGTATGTATGTTTCTTCATATCCGATTTCTGGTGGAATCTCTTCCCGCAGTACTCGCATGGATATGGTCTGGTATCGGAATGGATGAGAAGATGTGTAGACAAAGTTGAGGAACGTTTGAAAGTTTTCCCGCACTGTTTACATTGGAATATCTTCTCCTGAGTGTGGACGGCCTTGTGTTGGCTGAGACTGACGGAGTGTCCGAAGGTCTTGTGGCAAACTTCGCAGGCGTACGGTCTCTCACCGCTATGAGATCTGCGGGAGTGTACTTCTAATCCGTGCGGCGTGTTAAACACTTTGTTGCATTTCAGACACGAGAACGATCCGTTGATCGATAACAGTTTCTTTTCTGATGGAAAGTCCTCTTTCATTTGAAGCCCTTCATCCGAGCCATCGCTGCTGTAACTTGAACTTGCCGGCGAGAGAGGGATATTGAAGCCATGATCTGCCCAATGAGGTTGCTCCGGCGTCGCAGACTTCATGATCTGTTTCTCGGCATGGGCGAACTGGGCTCGGTATACATCTGTGTAACTCAACTTTCCGTCTTTCAGCAGTTCCACCATGATTTTGTGAAAACCTAAAGAAAACATGAAGTCCGAGTCAGTGGTTGGTATTTATTTATTTATCTATTTTTTTGCATTTCATTATTTGACAAGAAAATAGCATTTTAAAATTTGTTAAAATTGTTAAAAGTTACAATATTTACCATTTGGTGGAGGTGATGGGACTGTGTATGATGACATATCACACGGCCACTGCTGCACTGCGCCGCTGTTTAGTTCATGGCCCAGCTTAGTCTTACTTGCTAATACGTCGTATCTGGTCACATGGCCCACTGGTGAGCTGTCGACATTGACGGGGTGCCCAAATTTGGCATATCGACTTGAGAATTCTGTAAAGTTAAGAAGAAAAACAAATCAGTGAATGGGGCTTTGACAGTATGAAAAGTTGGTCGAACATCGTTTCGCTTGTGGCTGGCGACTTTTTGTGATGGAAGGGGCGTTGACAGCTTACCTTGTAGATGTCTGGGTCGGACAGTGCTGAATGCACTCCCCCTGCTTGTTGGCAAGCACGGGGGCATCGTCAGGACAGGCGTGGTACATCTGGAACTGTTGCAGCAGCTTCCTGGTGAAGTGTACGAACTCGCTTGTACGGTGCATCGGACGTCACGGCACTTCTCAAACGTGCATGTTTCGGTAGAAGATGAACACGCTGTCAGTGTCGTTGATCTGCCGCGGCCAGAATACGATGATTTTTTACTGTTTTTCTTTATCAGAAACGAACGAGGCATGATTGTTTTGTTTTTGAAATTAAGCGTAAAACGAAAGTGCGGAGTTTGAACTGGTGGTGTACGGGATATTCTTCAGCTCTCTGTTGGACCCTAGGTTGTGTTCCGTTGGAGAGATGGATGCAATCTGAATCAGAACCGCTCTTTACCGCTTTAAATAAGGCTCTTGATTATTCAAATGTGGGGGTCTGGTGATTTAATTAAGCCCGGCCCACCCTCTACAGGGACCCATCTGTTTCACCATTATCGCCTGCCAAACTTAACAACATTAGCATATCGCACGCATGCGCTGATAGGTGTGATCTAGCAGGTGTCACCGACAGCTGGAAGCAGCACTCTGATTGGCCGATAGCAAAACAGTACCACGTGATTCTCTCAGATACAGTGACTTTGTGACTGAATGATTAGTGGGAGGCAGGGAGTAGCTTGTTAACCTTAATGAAAACTCCATCTAATACTCCTTGTATTGACAGCGACTAATTAAATGCTACTTTTATGATTTTTTATTAAGTTTCACGGTATGTCAGTTTCGTACGGAGTTGTAAGCGCAGCGGTGTACGAGTGGCGTCTTCGTATCGGCCAGACCCCATTTCTGACTATCGCAGACAAGATGCCACACGACTTAGATGATTTAGCAGTTCGTCTGAATGCCCACTAGAGCAAAATCCAATCCTTTATTTTATTCAACGGCTCAAAAAATAATAAAACGCTTTTTTTTATCTTTTGAAATATCAGTGTAAATAAATCAACCTAATTGTCTTTCGATTTGTTTTTACTCCCATTCCGTTTTCTGACAACATAATTATTGTATATATTCGTGTTTGTGCCTATCACTAAGTCACGTGCTACGAATAATAAGAAAAGCAACGTTTATTGATTTTATTTAAATGGTCGATATGGTGAAAATACTAATCACATAACTCGACGTATGGTCTCACTAGGCGCATAATAATATCAACTGCACATACATGCTATTTTTAGATATATTTGTACTGTAAAAGTATTAACAGCGACACGAGCGAACGAATACAAAAGGACGTGCCTTTTGTTCTTCCCGGCTGATGCATAAAAACACGGGATCGGGAGTTTAAACCGTGTCACCAAAATACTGAGATTGGCCACGGTTGTAATTCGCCACTCTTACTTAAGTGGATTATCTGTTTAGGAGATTAGGGCGTGTTTTGAAACGAAGTGAGAAAAACCGTTCTCAAACAGGTGTTTATACGGATTTTAACGCTGATTGGCAAGCTACATCGGCGGGTGTTTTTCCCGAGTTTTAGCTGTAAATCTGTTTTATTGCAAAATGTACCAGTAGTTGCTACGACTGAGATCTGACGATTCTACGGCAAAGCTGATATATCATTTATGGCTAGGTATTTCCTAATATAGCACAGTCCATCATCTGTTAGTTGCGTTATACGATCATTGTACCCTAACGTTACGCCGGACTGGTCCGGTTCGTGGTATTTTTAGGACCTGTACGGCATATGGCGGGGCTGCGATGATTCGTTTTACGAAACTTGTTGTAACGCTCGCCGTTACAAAGATTCGGCGTAAGTTCAATCGGGTTTATCTGTGTGTGTGTCTGAACATGTGTTACTTTGGGGCACCTTTAATAATTATAATAATAACAACGACACAAATATGCAAACAAATCGACTGACGATAAGTGTTTAAAGAGGACACTGTGCAGTGCGGGGCCCGTTGTTGCGGGATCATAACATCCATACGACAATGCCATTACGAGGTCACGTCTTTCTAGTTTACTAGTATTTAAAATATTGCATAACATACAAGTAAAAGGGATCATCATCAGTAAATATATTGGTTACATTTTCCCGGTAAAAAGTGTGATATTTGTTGAGTAATTATTATCTTATGCACATATCACGTCTTGTATCGGGGTTACTACGACCAAGTTCAAATATCAGTTCTGTGCTCGCTCCCCAAATGTCGCAGCGAGCGCGTGCGTTGAAGGTCATTGTACCTCTCTTTAAACTTGAATTGCCGAATCATTTAGCCCCCTTTGTAAATAAACAAAACACTGAAGCTTGATTCTCTTCTTATGCGAAAACAAGCGCAGAAATAATACTCGCGCCGCTGAATGTTGAGCAGTCCATATGTTGTGGTCATGCGTCTTTAATCGTTTTCGCACTTCAGTAATAACTTAACATTCACTTGGTTCTCAGTTTTGTTGTACAACGAAATTATGTGAATTGTAAATACTCCCTAAATCTGCTGCCTACAAAGAGACGCAGCTTACGTGTCTCCGCTAGTTCATATCGGCACGGAAATCTACTAGTCACACGCGGACGCTTCCGCCCCAAACCTGTGAAGTTTCTCACGAATAACCACACAAGATATCAGAGTGAATATCGAGCCCCGAGCTGATGAATAAAAATAATCATCGGTCAATCCATGCCAATGTTTACACAACGCAGATACACGATTCTATTTCGGCGTCTGCAAAGTTTTAATTTATTATTACACATTTTGTTTTCTTGCAGGGTAGTTATACTTAGACAAGCCTTGTTCAGCGACCAACCCTTAACAATGTAATTGGATTCAATTTTGTGTTCAGTATCTGATTATAAAAAGTAATGACATTTTAATTTGCATTGTCTTTTTCTTTGGGATGGTGTTACGACGGGACTGCTGATTGGGTTAGCGATGTCCTGAACGGGAGTGAATATTCATCATTGCAATATATGCATATCATTCAATGAAAAACTCTAGCCTCGTTTTAGCGCGAGTATTAATTCGCTGTTTGCGAAAATTCGAACTGCACGCACTTGAAATGGGTGTATCAACATCTGGCGTCGAGTACATTGCATTATCAATGAAATCGCAGTATTAGTGTAAATACAGTCAGAGTTCCCCGACACCCTGAATTCAGTGTTTATGTACAGTATTTATTTTTAAATCAGAAGTCCTGTGTTTTAAATATGAAATCGGCATCCTAGAACAACAGCGACCTTTCTGCACCCCAATCTCGTGGTGCTTTTTATAACTCCATATGACCGATGTACCATACGGTGAAGGAACCTCTCAAAATAACGTCTGCATGGCGATGTCATCACTAAACAGATGTATGTACGTGTAGGCTTAACTATTAGTTGTCTGAGGTGTATGGTAAATGGCTTAACAACGCGCCAATTACAAAAAAAAAAAAAAAAAAAAAAACGATGAAAATAATGGAAGAACACAAACGCGACAAATGTACCTCCCCAAACAGTTGACTGTAGTGAGACACAGTGCGTATATTGTGCACGATGAATTTAAGTGCCGTGGGATGGTGCGGACGGAAAAAAAATGAGTTGCCGTTCGATGTGTAACCCGGAATGTGGCATGATCGATGGATCGTCATTTCGTGTCCCAGCGTGTACGCGCAATTTTACATGTGAAAACATCGGAATACAGCGCGTGCTGTCTGAGGAATTATTTTATCATCAAATGTCATGGGAACGGAGCGACAGGGCATCAATTTATGGGTTTGTCGCGTGGCAGAGATTTGGGACCGATAAGAGATCAATTCAATGTACACACAACGATGGTGCTGACACGTTGTAGCACGCGCCCGTGCAGGTATCCAACGCACAGAATGGAATGTAGTTCACGCCGCTATTTTCATTTCATTTCAATCCTAAATCAAACTCACAAGCCAGAAAACATATGGCTGATCATTTGGTGTATTTTAATTCTGTTTTCTTGTAGAGCGACTGGTTTCAAAACTAAATTTCACACAGGCGTGTTCTTGGTCGACGTACAAGTGAAAAAGTGGTGTACGTCTAGTTAGTCACCGAATTAAACTCCCCAAGCATGTGTGCTCACACAACAGAGACACACGGTGTTTAAAGGGGAACCGCTCAATCCCATGGATTGCACCAAAGAATCATGGGACACTATTGTTTATGTTGTTTATAATGTTAATCTATCTTTTGTTATCCATTGTTATTTTAATCCAGAAAGTAAATTTGTTGTGAAATTAATCTTAACTGGAAGGTGCCCATTGAATGCTTCTAAAGTTACACTTGTTTGAGAAGCATGACGTTAAAAAAAATACAGTAATAGGTAAAGTAGGTCACGTACCTATCGCTCTACCGCGCGATTTCGGACATTTGAACCAGCTTTGTCGTCAACGCGCTCTAACCCACCGACCCCTTCTCTTACCCGCCCAACGTAACCGTTTAGAAAATGGCCTGGCGCGTCGGTGTTTTGAACAATAATTTTTTTTTTATAAGTTGGTTTAGCTCAGGAAATAAGATTTCCATTTGTTAAAGAAATGGTATGCGAATTAATTACATCAATTGAAATGAAGCAACACAATTATTAGAATAATGAAAACATATTGTTATCTATTTAACTATATCCAAAGAAAACCGGGGACAAGAAACGGGAAGAAAGAAACAATACCGATATATTTTGGGTTGAATTTACTATTTCCCTCTTTAAAAATATTTGTCCGAACTGCCGGAGATCGAATATACGTTCTAATCTTAAAGTGGGGGTCACATACGCATGCGTCAGACGACCATAGCGTGTCGTTGTTTACAAACAAGCGTCTACCCATGAGCCTTTGCGTTTTTAGCGTGTGTTGTTATCATCGCTTGGGACTCAATTCCCATGTGTGCGCAGGTGACGACCCATTCGCTTTAAAATCATTTATTTTGAAGAAAAGGAAATTAAAAAAAAACACGTATAAACAACAAGTTACCAGTAATCCTAAAATGCTCACAAGCAACCCGGGCGATAATATATACAAATTTCGGTCACGATCAAATACGTGGCTCCTGAACGATCAGCACGACACCGGAAATTAAAATAGGAGATGTGTGGATTGTAACATTGTCGGGCATGACTGGACGCACTTCCCTCGTTTTGTTTCAAATTAAAAATAAGATGATCTGCCTAATTTACTAAATTGCTACCCGTCGTGTTGTTTAATTTCAACAAAGGCCAAGATGGATGCAATGGTCTTTTAATTATCCTGGAACAATTACCACGCCGCATTCAATTGAATTACTTAATTTTCTTAATATTGAGAATATTTTGCGTAGCACCACCGTGACTATATTAACATAGATAGGATTACTCAATACACCCTA